CCAATGTAAAGTTTCTCTATTCCCCCCTTCCCATATTGTATTTATTGGAAAAAAGTCAACATGCAGAGCACACACTTAAGAGGTGGGAGTTACCTTAAGTGAGAGGTTGAGATAAGGAGTGGGGAGTGTCTATGTAAATTATTGGAATAATAATTTACACAGGAGATTTCCTGGCTCCTCCATTTAAAAAATGTAATCAATTATTTATATCAGTATGGACTTAAGGTTATTTATTTCATCCTTTGGATTATAGTCCAATGTTACTTTATTTATGTTGTTCCTCAAATTGTTCTAGCTTTGGGCATTGGGAGAGCTTTCAGTTGGCTCCTATGTCCTTTGACATACCCCCCATTTGTTTGTTTATTTTTGGAGCACTTCCTTTGTTTCTGACACTACAAGATAAGCCAGGCTCCAAATGTATATTTCCTTCCCCAGTCCTAGAATCAACCATTTCTTTGAGGAGCCCTGGCTTTTGTTACTGGGGAAATAGCATCCGAGATCAATATCTGGGTGCTAGGTATGCTCATTGCAACTGGGTGTTGTTCCTTCTAACGCTCTCAGCTGACAGAATGAGGAAATATATATATGTATGCAGACATATCTGTATATATTTCTATATGTATCTACCTGTATCTATTTCTATTTTTTTTCCCTAAGATACTCTCCCTGCTATAAAGGCCATAACCTTAATGTCATCTGCAAAATTCCTTCATAAATTAGTGTGTGTGTTCTTTTATAAGATTTTATTTATTTATTTGACAGAGAGTGAAAGAGCAAAAGGAGGGGGAGCAGTAGAGGGAGGGGAGAAGCAGGGTCCCCTCTGAGCAGGGAGACTGATGTGGGGCTCGATCCCAAGACCTTGGGATCATGACCTGAGCTAAAGGCAGGTGCTTAACTGACTAAGCCCCCCAGGTGACCCCATAAATTAGTGTTTTATTGAATAACTGGGAATAGGAATTTGGGGAAAAATTCTGCCTACCACACTGAGTTTATATTCCAGAATTGAAGTGTGCATGGCTTGATAGTTCCTTCCCTTTTAGCACCAAACGATATGGAAGAGGGTTTTATGTTCTCAAATCCACGGTGCATAGGTATCCATTTGACATTTTTTTATTCTCAAGTTTTCTGGCCACACAAGCTTTTTTGCCACATCCCTGTGCAGCACTCAGTTGTTTTCCTATTGTCATGAGCAATTTAGCTCTCTTCCCCAGACTTGCATATGCTGCTCAGTAAAGAACATAGCTCTTAGCAATTTAGCTCCCACCCAAGGAGCTTCTCAGACTTTACCTTCCTAGTCACACATCTACATTACAGTTCTTTATGTTTTTGATTAATATTGCCCCCTCCCAACATCTTCGTTTCACCTCTCTTTGTATGGTTTTTTAAAGCGTAAACTGTATCTTTATCATTGTATTCTGGAACAATGCTGCAGCTAGCCCCTAGTGTGTATGCAGTAAATATTTATTGAGCAGACAAATAAATGACTTGGTACAATGTAAAAATCAGATGGCAAAGGAACTGACAAACTTGAAATGCATGCTATACTCCATCCGCTTGGGTAGGATATTTGTTTACTATGTACTCTTTTCTTTTTTTTCACTGTGTGAAAACCACTTGCAAAAAATGGCCTGAAATCTGAGATGCATTCAGTTTATATAGAACACATGCTGTTTATAGAAGCATTACTCAATAGTATCACGCTAGTGAACCTTGATAATGTGTGTCAGAGGTTTTCAGCATTAGCCCGGATCATCAGCTTTACTACAAACAGCTGAAATATATTGATGGTATAAAATTTATTTTCTCATAAAATGTTGCATGGCCAAATTTTGGGACTTGGCTAACCAGCTTAGAATTATTGTTATCTATATTTTTAGTAAAAGGAGCTGAGGTGGCTGTTTATTAAGTCATTAGCTTAAAAAAAATGCTTAACATTGATATAAAATTTAAATACTGGGCCTCCGAACAAATAGCCTAGAATGATCCTCATTTCACATACTTAAGTTCTAAGATAATCTTGGAAGTCGCACCCATCTGTGGGTGCTTCTTACAAAACCTGCGTTGGATGGGTACTTGCTGTCTTCAAGCTGTGTACATCAGCCTCTATATGCTAGAGCCTTAATTTTGATGTGAAAAACTGTACAAATTTGGGTAGTGAGAAAAGAGGAGTTCTTAAATTTCTCCTCTTTCTGATCCTTCTCTTTCCTTTTTCCTCCTCTTCTTCCTCTTTGTCCTTCTTAAAATAGCCACCATTGTCTTGGGTTATGGAGAATGTTGTCACCCACAAGAGTAATTTTTCTTCAGTTAAATATCACATGTTTGCAGTCATCCTTCAAATACCCAGTGGTTTATGTCAGGAATGAACAATTAAGGGGCTTGTTGACCTTTCAGAGTAAAAAATTCTCTGTTTTAGGGATTTATCTCTTGCTGAGAAGATTTTCTTTTTAAGCATAAAAATGTGTAGAAGTAAATATTACAGAAACACTTTGAGTCTTTGGCTAAGTTTTAAAGGAGGGTACTCCATCTTTTCTGGTTTCTATTGTGAGGCAGGTGTATGTATTTTCAGTATGTGAAAAGGCTGAACTCTATCTTGTGCTTTCCTGAGCCCTTCCATTTGTAACATTCAATTGTGGAAATGACTAAGAAGCTGCTACTAACAGCCAGTGGTTAGCTGGGAAGTGGCTGGTGAATGACTTCAGTTGAAGTGACCTTTGTTTCTCAGCCATGAGAAATCATTAACTCTTCTAAAAAGGTGCTAGAATTGAAACAAATAATAAACAGAAGGTAAAATGGTAGTGGTTTATACAAGGGCTTCCAAAACAGTTTTCTTCCACAATAAATGAGGATAAGATTTCTTGGCATCCAGATGAGAACTTTCCAACATTCCATGTGTGCATAAAATTCCATATATGCAAACAGGTTTCACAATTTCAAAGATCTGGATTGCTTGTAGGCTACATTTAGCTGAATTGAAAATCCGTCTCTCTGGTGTTCATCTTACCCCAATAATATGTGAATTTTATCCTTAGGGCCTGTAAGAGTTAATGTCATAAGTTGGAATTTACTTACTAGTAGATAGGTGGTTGGGGAAAATTGGTTCAATGTTTTTCTTAACTGATTGTGTTTTCAGGATGAAAATCAACAGACTATGAATCAGGAGTTGCCAAGAAGATCAGTGCGTTCCATTCGTACCTATACCATTGATTGCATATTTCCCTCAGGATAATTCTACTTTAACAAACACACACATAGTTTCTGGGGAAAAAAAAAAAAAGAAATGTTAGTTGCAGAAGCTGCTGCTCTGGCCTCCTATGTTGGCAGAAAGAGATTGCCTGATTTCTATGTTGGCGATCCATATTATTTTTTTATTGCATACTGAATAAAAGGAGACTGCTAAACTGCAAACAATCTGAATACATTTCTTTCTGCACTGATAAATTCTCTCAAGTTTTCCAGCGTTGGAAAAGGTGGGGTGGCCCCTTGTACGTTTTCAAAACTGAGCCTGGTGTTTTGTACTGGGGAAGCATCCACGGCACCTTACCATGTTCCTGGTGCATCATGTATGTTGCACATTTTACAAGTTTCAAAGCCCTTTCTTATATTATTTCATCTTCATTTTATAATGATTCTACAAGACAGCATAGACATCACTGTAATAATTTCTAGATGAGGAGTCTCAGAAAATTTCAGTAGGTTTTCTATGGTCACACAGCTAGGATGTCAGGCTAGGAGCAGGATTAGGACCTAGCTTTTCAGATTTGAAGAAACTCTACTCTGGTGCAAGTTCAGAGCGTGATTGCTTTTGGTCAAAGGGCCTTGCAACGTGATAGCAAGGACATATTTTGCAACTTATGCTCTAGAGTTATCAGACAGAACTTTATACTTCTCTTTCCCATCACTGTGAGCTCTTCATAGAATGAGATCTCATTGTTATTCTTTCTTCTGATTTTTAATAATTAATCTTATTTTCCAGCAGGAATTTTAAGACCTGACCTAAATATTATAATTAACACACCGAAAGGTTCTATCAACACGACCCACTTAGTATCCCTTTTCCGGTGTGGAAACTCATGAATGTAATTTAATGTTACTTTTAAAAGACTGAATTTTGTGTTTTGCAGTTTCCCTGATGGAGTTTACACAGTTGTATTCAGTGAGAGGATGGGCCATCTTCTCAAAGCTCTCTCTCTCTGGCAAAGGAAGGACATTAACTGCTGCTGTGTTAATAGTGAGAGAGGAGAGTTTTGATTCTTCTGGTCATCTTTTGCCCAGCAGAACTCAATGCACAGCTTCTACTCACTCCTGATCATTATGCCTGGTCATGACATGGTTTTGCCATGGAGCACGATGCTACGAGTAGATAGGGACTGTTTAAGGAAAATGACTTTTCTACTGATTCCTGGGTTTCTGAATTCATATCCCTTTAATCTACCTCTGTCTTTTGCTCTTTTCCACATACAAATAAGTCCTCATATCTTCTTGTTAGACTTGGCCAGTTAGAGCCACTTGACAGAGTTTCTAGTCATGAAAGTGTTCCTATTTCTCAGTACCAGGGAGAAACTCAAGAAATGGCTTTTTTTCTTCAGTGCTTTTGAGGTTTTAAGCCTCTTGGGTGTGGAGTAGTGCATCATGTCCTTCTGAATTTTTCTTAAATTAAATGATAATGCAAATTTAATTTTTCTCCACAGAGCCCCATCTATGAACTGATCTGAGCATATTTCCCCTTTTTATGATGAGGAAAAGAGAAAAAAAGAAGTGAATTTTCAGGGGTGAAAGATGTGTTCCTTTTAATTGGAGCACTTACACTATACCTAAGAATATTTGGAAAGTCTTGGAACCTAGTTATATTTTCAAGAAAAACTCCAGATATTGAATATATAAGATTTCAGAATCCCATTTCGTGTGAGTTTTTCAGGTCTGTGTGGAATGAACATGAAAATGTGTTGGACATTAATTCCTCTAGAAAGTCTGGGAAATGTCACTCTCCTTTGTCCTCTTAGGTGGCCATGTTTGCACTGCAGCTGGGCAGTGCCACCTTCCTGCTTACGGAGCCCGTGATCAGTGCGATGACGACCGGGGCTGCCACCCACGTTGTGACTTCACAAGTCAAGTATCTCCTGGGAATGAAAATGCCATATATATCTGGACCACTTGGATTCTTTTACGTGAGCTTTCCATATGTCTTTGTTCGTGTATTTTGGGAGTGTGTTTCACAAAGTAGAATTCGGTGAATTCTAATACTGAGATTTTTCGGTAGGTATGGAACGTGGGTTTAAATACAATCGTTTTGGGATACTTTTAATGTAATTTAGGATATGAAGCTAACTTAATATGTTCTATCTACTAATTTTGGAAGCAATTCTTGATAAAAATTGAGCATGATATAATTTGGGGTCATGATTAGAAAAAAATAACTGGAATTTTTTCAAGAGCCAGCTCTGTTGCAACTTCTCATGGAGGTCATCTACTGGGATTGGGGCCCAGTTTGACTACAGGACACTCTACCACTTTCATTCAGTATTGTGAACTCCAGTTTGGCTCAAATCACAGGCCTGGGCAAAATTGGTGGCTGGAGCCCCAGTGGCCGACAATGAGCTACTAAAAGTCACTTGAACCTGAGGGAGGAACCTATGGCCAATTTCAAAATATTACCCTAATAATACTCCATTGTTTTTGTCCCTTTTTGAAGCTGACCTAAAATCTCTGACTGCTCAGGAAGTCCTATCCTATGGAGCTTTATAAGAAAATGAATGTTTCATCAATAAACTGGAGGGCAACCAAACTTCACTTTACTTAATTTCTTAATTTTATGTAGTAGAGAAGGAAAAAAAATATTTCCGTTCTACTCTTCTAGGTTCTGAGCTGTGGACCCTCTAACAAAAAACCAGATTAACCAGAGAAAACCAACAATTTTATTAACCTGGGTATCATATAGGCAAGGGAGAAACTCAGAGATGAGTAACTTGAGAAAGGCTAGAATTTGGGTGTAAATACTTTCTTCACCCAAAACAAATGAGGAAAGAGTGTGTGGAGCCAAGTTATGAGAAGGTGACCAGGGAAAGTACTGTAAACAAGGATAAGGTTTGCTGTGCAGATGTAAGTTCCTTCTTCTTTTTTTTTTTTTTTTAAAGATTTTTTATTTATTTATTTGACAGAGAGAGATCACAAAGCAGGCAGAGAGGCAGGCAGAGAGAGAGGAGGAAGCAGGCTCCCTGCTGAGCAGAGAGCCTGATGCGGGGCTCGATCCCAGGACCCTGAGATCATGACCCGAGCTGAAGGCAGCGGCTTAACCCACTTTAGCCACCCAGGCGCCCCAAGTTCCTTCTTCTTGATGGGAATGCTTTGTGAGTTAGAGTCACCCTTTCCTTCTACAGAGACTGAGACACCTTATAGGTGGAGAGTTCCTTTATGAATGTAAATTTCTCTTACAAAAGGGTCACTTATATTCTGTTTCCAGAGCTTCCTTGTGTCTGCTGTTTCTCAAAATAACAACCTGAAGATAATCCTTATGTCAAACAGGTATATTTTGGGGTGGCACATCCTGAGCTCCCACAATGTAATGCTGCATAATAAGTAACATTAATGTTTTATAATGAGAGAATTCTGACTCTCAATTTTCTTGATCTTAAAGGCTAAATAGTAGCTTAACATATAAGTACAATAATTTCTTCATCTAATGCCTGATGTTATGGTAGTTTGTGGTGTTTCACTATTATACACGGCTTCACGAGGATCTTTGTTATTTGTATGTTATTATCTGCATCACTAATTATTTCATTGGGATAAATTCCTAGTAATGGAATTACCGGATCAGAAGGATATAAGATGTTTGCCAAATTTCAGTCTGAAAAGTTGTGCTCATTAATATTACACACTCACCTTATCATTGTCAACTCTTTTTAAAATTTGTCACTATTTTTAAAATTTGTCACTCTGGTACCTGAAAAGTAGTAGTATCTATCTGCTTAAGTGTGTGTTTCTCTGAGTGACTGGTAAAGCAGTCCATAAAGATAGCAGTTGGCAACATGGAGCTGGAAGCTGGTTCTGAATTTCTGCTATTTAGGTAATATCCTGCTCAATGACTCATTCATTATAAGAGAGCTTAAAACTAAAACAAGAGCGCTGGAACTGAGCCTGGAGGCCCCAGATCAAAGGAATGCAGACCAAAGTAGCTGTAAGCTGTCAGGTGATGGGTCCCTTATGACTTCTGGTGACACCAGGTCTATACCAGAGAACCAAATCAGCACTGGATTCTGTCTTGACCTTCCTGAATGGTGTGCTCATCTGTGTGTGGGAAGTGTAAGGAAATGTGAATGAATTACAAATTAGCCTCTTCAGTCATATTCACACACAAATAATCATCCCTCCTTTCTCTAGTTCTGTTAAAAAAGGCAGGAGAGCCTGATAGGGGAATGACATTCAGTCTTTCAACTTGTTTCTCTCGTGGCAAGTATATGAAATGCCATGTTAAAGTGTTTTGTGTATGATTTCTTTTTTCCATTTTATTTTCTTGTGAGGAAAACTGTAAGCTACTTAATCTTTGCCTTGTCTGTCAAATCCTCTGTGGCTTTTTGGAGGCAAGGGGTTAAGTTCTCACAATGAAACAGGATCAGATTTTAAAATATTTATAGATGGCTGGCTTTACAGTCACCGTATTCAGTTGGTGGGAATTGCTAAGCTGTGTGCTGAGGGAAAATGAAGAAAGTTGCTATTGTTTTTCCGTGTCCCAGAGTCCTACACTGTTTAGTTGCTGGGTTGGAATGGTGCTTTGATTCTTTGCCAGGGTTTCAAAAATGAATGTGGTTATTTTAACGTCAAAAATTGTGGTGATCTGAGCTTTAGATTGAGAAATAAGTTTTGTGTCATGCATGGGTTCTACTGGGATGTTTGCAAAGTGAGCTTTGGTGTAGTTAGGCTGAGGAAGCTGACGATGATAATGTAAGTGTGAACTTGTCCCTAGCTTGTTTGGGTGGGGTGTGCAGGACCAAATCTGAACTCAGCTCTGAGGTATAGAACAGAAAATAAAATGGAGGCCTTGATCATCAGGGCCAGAGAACCCAGAAGAGGGTGAATTAACACATTGGGGGATTGTTCACTTTTTGACTATGTTTCCTACCTCTGAGGTTTCACAACTCTTCTATCCTTTTTGAAAGTTACTCAGGCTGATGGGAGATAAAGAATATGTAGCTGATTATCTTTGGAGCATAAATTAATATCTAAAGTATTTGAGACTTTTGTATAAGAGTCAGTGGTCACGCCTAATTTTCTCAGCCGGAACACTCATTTTTCTTAAAAGAATTCAAGTTTGGCCAACGAAAATGTCTGTTGATTAATTTGATAGTTGCCATCTTTGCTATCAATGTCACCTTCTGCCTTCATCCTGTTCTGAGGTCACTGGAGGTTGGGGTCTCTCCTTTCTGCCATGGGGATGGTTTCTTAAGTGTCTTCTACCTGGGGGATGCCTGATGCTGTGCTACTAAGAGAATCTGATTCTCTAGTTTGAATATCTAAAATCTCTATCCCTTTGGTTGCTCTGAACTGGTGGGTGTTCTTGCCTCAGCAAAACATTTTTAAAGAGAGGTTTGAGTCAGAAACACCTGGTGGCAAGTTCTGCCCTATCAGATTGTAGAACAGATGTCTGATAGGTCGTAAGAAGTAGATGTGCCCTAATGCTTCTCCCCTTTCTACATCTGCCATGTAGATCACATGCCACCAATGCCAGCTAAGATCAGAGAGGCCACTTCTTCTCTTCTAGCTGAAAACTGGTAAGAAGCTTCACCGGAGGAGGGGCTCTCCAATAAGTGTTAAAGCCTACTAAAGCTTTCAGCTCCTGGTTCTTCGAGTGCCTCTCTCAGAATTTCTAGGATCTTTACATGCAGATAGATCCCCATGTACACCCTTATGATTTCCTTGATTCCCAAGAAAAGTGGGTAGAATTAGGCAAAATTCATCTTTCTTATTTAACTTCCCAAATTTCCTCATGCATCATGTTTTACTTTCCCCTTTGTTATGCAAGTTTTATCTCTAAATTCATATATCTCTAATAAATTTTAAATTATGGCCATTTCTTAATGATCTTTGAAGTATTGCACATTCTTTTTTAGTTACTTGTTGGGTAAAAATCAGTTTTTTTCTCTGAGTTGACTTTTAGCTCTGCTGATTTTATTTAGGGCCCATACAGTCAGGTAGGCCATAATTCATCTTTTCTTTTCCTTAGAAAGAGGCAACAGGAGAAAGAACTTGAGAATTTTAGAAGCCCATATTCAGATCATAACTCTGGTCTTGACCAAACCAAGTATCTTTGACTTCTGGTTGCCTGTTTCATAAACTGATGATAATTATACCTATCGGGATTCATTCCCTAAGTGAAATGCCTAGAACATATTCATTAAACAGAAGCCATTATCTTTGTACTAGTAATGCATCGTTGGATATAACAAATTTAAGATTTTTGAAAGAGCTTCTTATGTAAGAGATACTTCTGTCTATTAATAATAATAGAATAGTAATAGATGGTTTTCCTGTAAACTGTGGAGGACTCGATCAGATAACCAAAGCTAAACAGTAAAACAAAGTTATATCTCTTCTTGCAACTTAGAAAGATGACTTCAAAATTTATAAAACTTAAAAAAAAATAACTGTATCTGCTGTTTATAATAAGTTAGTCATCAGAATTCAAGAAATGCTATATTTTTGTTTATTTTTATTTAAAAATATTTCCATCTATTCAGCTCACCACCCCAATAGTTAAAAACTCACTTAACAAATTATAACAGTGCTGGAATACATTTCACACTAAGCAGAAGCAATAACATTCTGTCTTGGGACTCTGGCAAACCAGTGACACTATCTTATTCCTGTCTTTCTTACAATTCGAATATTTGACTGATAGTTGGTTCCCCACATACATAAGAGGGAAAAGTTTAATTCTTCTCTAGAATATTTTTTTAAATTTAATTTAATCTTATTTTTTTCAGTGTTCCAAAATTCATTTTTTTTAATTGAGAAATGATGATGTATCTTTTGTTAGAAAGGATGTTTCCCCAAAAGGCACAATAAAAATTACAAAAATTCCTAGTTCCTATTAGCACATGTGGGTTTCTTTGAGATGGCGCCAGTGTCTCAGCCTGGAGCAACATATGATAAATTTGGCTGAGTTAGTCTC